TTGGAAACACTTTGTCACAGAACTAAAGCACTCTCAGAATAAAAAGATTCATTTAGTTAAAATGCAAAAGTTTTATAAAATACTAGGTTTAGAGGAGGACATTAATGTTCAATTACAGCTAGGAAAGAAAAACATCTTTGTGCAAGAGTGCATCTAAATGATGTCTATTTTTCCTTAGTAGAAGCATCATCTTCGGAAAAGTAATACGCCCTTCATTTATTTTGAAATAGTCCTTTATAAACATGGACCACTTGACAAAGTCTTAGTCACCCCAGAACACTCGTTCTAGCAATATTTCCTGGACTCTAAAATATAAAACTGTTTTTATTCAAAATGCTTACAGGGTCAATCAGTGTTATACTTCAACTAGTCTATTATACACAAATGTCCATTTTTAACATCTTTGATTGAATGCCTACACTCCTGGGTTGTTTTGTTTTGTTTTTAGCTTCCCCCCATGATGATTATGAAGTTCCAGACAAAAAACTACCTGAGAGATTGCAGTTGTTTTTGTCCCATCCCCACACCCTTTTAGATGGTTAATGTCCAAGGTCTTGATCTGGATGGTAGATATGTGAATATTTATTATTTTTTATATCTGTTGCATTTTATAAATATTTTGTGTATATGCTATATTTAATTAATAATTTGTTAAATTTCAAAAAAAATCATTGATTAACCTAACTTTAGCCAGGCTCCTAAACCTTCTCTTAAAGGTATCTGGCTCCTCTAACACCTCCCCCTTCCCACTTCTTCCAATCCTCCTTCCACTTTTTACCACCTGCAATCTTTCCTGGAATTTCCTTGAATACTTTGATATGTCCCACTTCAAACCCATTCCTCTGTTCAGTCTTGCTAGACATTTCCTTCCCATTCCAGACCCTCAGTCACTTGGACTTCAGGCCCCTACTCCCCATCAGGGGCTTTCAAGGACTCAGAGACCCCAAGAAGCAACCATCTAAGATTTAAAAGAAGAGGGGGGGGGAAGGCTATTTGGAAACAGAAATGGATGTTTTGTCCACTTAGATGGACTTTGGTGATATTTAAATAGCTGCTAGAAATTGCCTCACTTAATCATTTAAAATTCAGTTCGCTACCTCCATAAGATTACGGGTCAAGGCAAAAGAAGATCTTGAAAACCTTTTCCACAAATAATGGCAAAAACTTTAGCCCTTATAGAGTATGTAGCATCAACTTGTCCTATTTTTATCAAAAATACAATTTGGATAAAAATGTAAAGTGGAGACACATCGGTCAGTTTGTATTACTGTTTTTTACTGACCTAAGTAAAATTATAGAGTGAAATCTGTCTGTTTATGTATGTGTGTATGTATGTATATTACACACATATGAAATTTTTCTACCTCCAGATGGTATTGCCAATAAATTATTTTTTTACAATTTTTTTAATCTTTTATAAATTTTAATTTGTAAAAGTGCTATTTTTAATTGATTTAACAAAAAATTTGTAAAGTAAGTATTCTCAGAAAAATAGGAAGTGACTTGAGTGCTTTTTAAATGCATGTGTTCTGGGATAATCTTTGGTAAATAAAGCTAACTCAAAAATTGTTCATAAAATAAAAACAGGAATGTCTTCAGGATTAAATATGTTATTCTTCACAGCAGCATTAAATATAATACAGACACACATTTTTTTCTACCTACGTTTACTAGTCAAACAAGCTTATGTCATATTTACTAGATGTTTAAAACAATACAAGAAAAAATTTAACCTACAAACAAAAATGTACAGTAAAAAATAATGCTTGATATATGTCAAGAATGGCAATTTAAAAACAGAAAAAGAGAGAGGGCAAAGAACCATGTTTAACTTTTTAGTTTCTTTGCTTCTGTGATATTTTGATACTTGTCTGATTTGTCAAAAAGAAAATAACTTAAAATGATGGCTAGCTTTGTTTAATGTCTTATAAAACTTACATGAGCAGTTTGAGGATAACTGTTAAGAACATTCACCAGAACACAAAGACATTCAAAGTGCAAGAAATTCATCAAATGGCCACTGCCATCAGCACTCCACCATCCAAAGATGCTTCAAGCTCAAATCTAAAAATCCCAACTGGCTGTCCTCTGGATTCAAAAACTTGGTTTCTAACTATTAATCTTTGTTTTCCTTCATTTTCATAAAACTTCCCCTCATTAAATGCCTGAATGCTACCATCGTCTAGCAAATATCCTCTACTACCTTGTCCCAAAAGATGATTCAGCTGGTCCTTAATGAACAAAAGGTGACTGAGTGAGAAAATGGATTTATATTGTTCCTTGAATAATGAAGGAAACTGACAAAGATTCTTTGCTTGGCCTGACTTTAGTCGAGTCCCTGAACCTTCGTCTAGGCCCATCTGTGTACTTCCTTGTAAAATTCAGTTTTAGCAAAGAATCTTGCCAAGTTAGTTCAACAAGAACCCACCACCCTCGATATGTCATCGCCCTCAATAAATGATCCGGTTCTTCATTCTCCCTGATCCCCCAAGTGATGCCTGATCACTCTGATCTGTCTTCAGCAAGAATTCTATCAGGTCAGTTTAGCCAAAATCTCCCTTTACCCCTGATGTTTTCTCCTAGTAATTTCCTGTCCACTGATCCCCACCCTGCAACTTGGCTATAAATTCCCACTTGCCCATCAGGTATTTGGAGTTGAGCCTAATCTCTCTCCTCTCTGCAAAATCCCACTGCGGTGGTTCCTATAGCACAGCATCATAATGGTCCTGAATCGTCTTCACTGCCATGCTTTAATAAATGTCATTGAAAACTGTTTTTCTTTTGCAATACCTATCACAAAGACAACATGATGAGAGACCATGATGCCCCAAGACAAAAGAAAGAAAAACAAAAGTTTAGAAGATATATGAATTCCTGACTGCTTCATATTGGTTTGGGTTCTTCATAAGTCCAAGACAATTTCTTTTTTGGTATTTCATAAATCATGTTAATGAACTACCATATTTTGCATATGTTGGTTAGAAATATTTTATTCTTGTTTGCAACAAAGTGTTTGACTAAGATATAAGTAATCAAAGTCTCAAAAATGAAAGAACACTTCTGATTGATGTTTCCACAAAGATTTAAATACATGTTTTATTTATGTGATAAAAATAAGCCAGTTGCATAGACATGAAAAAGTATGCTATAGTTGAAACAAATGATGTGGCAAAGGTAAAATAATTATTGCAGAAAATTAAGTTAAATAGGAGCTAAGAAGTTTTCTAGAAATGAAATTACAGGATTATAGGATGTGACTATTTTTAAGAGTTGATTTTGTTCCCAAATTGCTATTACAGAAGTTTACAAATGATTTACATTTCCACAAAGATACATGAGATATACGAGAATGTTTATTTCACTCTATTCTCTATGATATTGAACATTCCCCAGTTCTTAAACTTTTGCTAAATATGAATTAATGTTTTGTCCATTCAATAACTGCTAGATTTTTGTCTTGTCTTACAAAAAGTTTTCATATTTAGGGCCGGCCCGGTGGCGCACTGCTACAGTGTGCCGCTTGGGAAGCGCGGTGGCGCACTGCTACAGTGCGCCGCTTGGGAAGCGCGGTGGCGCTCCTGCCGAGGGTTCGGATCCCACATACAGACCGGTTCCCGCTCACTGGCTGAGCGAGTTGCGGGAGCAACACCGAGGGTTGCAATCCCGTTGCCGGTCCCAGTCCGGTACGGGCGCGACACTGAGGGTTGCGATCCGTTGACGGTCACGAAAAAAGACAAAAAGGAAAAAAAAAAGTTTTCATATTTATGAATTATTTTGCAAATTTTATGGAAGTATGGCAAAAATACAGAAAAATGCACAAATCATCCATGCACAGCTAAATGAATATTCACAAAATGACTACCCCAATAGAACGAGCACTGAGATCAAGAAACAGACCATTGCTATCACTCTAGGAGTTCTCTCATTTACCTGTCCAGTTACTACACCATCCCCCAAATTTACCTATTCTCCCTACTTCTGAAATAGATTAGTTTCACCTCTTTTTGAATCTTATATAACAAATCTTGCAATGTGTCTGCCTTTTTTGCACTAAATATTATATACCTGAGATTCATATATGTTTTCCATGTAGCTGTAATTTCTGCATCCTTACTAATACTTAGTTTTTTATCATATAAAATGTCATAATTTATTGTAAGTGTACACTGGGTTGTTTCCATTTGATGACTGTTATGAATGGTGCTGCCCTTAAATACTTATGATTGTAAATTTACTTAACTTTTTCTTTTAAGTTTTTTCTACTGCTTTATGCTTCAAAATTTTTTCTCCATTTGAGAATTATAAACCTATATAATTTGAGAATTATTCACCTATATTTTCCTAATTATCTAAAATAATTTTATCTTAAATATTTAACCATTAAATTTTCATGGAAATAGTTTAGTGAGTGATATATTACACATAGAACTATTTTTTTCATCCAAATAGCGAAATGATTAAACCAGCAGATGATTCATCCATCTTTGATCATTTGATCTTTAGTGCAAACTTTGTGATCTGGTAAATTATTTAAAAGATGAATGTGTTCTTATATCAGTTCTTTATTTATTCCAATTACCATCACATTTTGATATTCACATTGACTTCAGAGCCAAAAAATTAAAGTTTAATTACAAGAATAAAAGGATTTTTAATCCTTTTTAAGTGTTAATTAATCCTAAATTTAAGAGTAGATAAAGGAAAAATACACACTAAAGAATACTCTCTCAAGACATTACAATTCATGTTTTATGCTTTCTGATTTTCCTATTATTGTGCAAGGTGCCAATGCCAACTATTTCCAAATCAAATTAGTTTTTGAAATTCCAAAGAGTTCATTAAACTCATGACAACTAATCTAAGCATAGCTATCTTATTTTGTTCATTAATAAAATTTTATAATTAACAATTATATTATAGGCACAAAGTAATATGTATATTAAAATATGCCCTCTGATTAGCAGATTTTTATATGATTATTTTGCACTGTGATTAGAATTCTACTCCTCATTTATATCCCAGATGAACTTCAAGGGAAAATCTTTCATCTTCCTTTGAAATATCCTGTCAAACCGTTCATTCTGCTCCACGGTCAAATGATGTTTCCAGTCTCCAATGGTACCTAGTGGGATAAACACATGAAGAGTACCTAGGTGAAGGAGTAGCACTATAAAGACAAAGTTTACCCAATCCACTTTAATCTTTTCTCCACATCAAGCTAAATATCTGTTAGTTCTTCATGAGGTTTGAAACCTCACCATTTCTTATACAGGCATGAGATAAGAAAAAACTTAGGAATGCAATAACACTTTTTCAATTTAAAAATAAACACTTACCTTATAGGGTTATATTAAAAATTATATTACATGATAGATGTAGGTTGCCTAGTATGATGCCTGGCACGTGTAACATATACATTATGTTAATTATAATATATTCTTATCTTTTAGTGTTTTTCTTCCTAAAGAATGATTATAACAGAATGGTAGTATTTTAAGATTTACAGTTTACTCTCCTATCTGATAAACTTCCACCAACTATTACCATTCTATCATAATCATTCTTTAGGAAGAAAACCACTAAAATATGTGAATGTATTAGAATTTTTTTAAATATATGTTACTATATGCCAGGCATCATACTAAGCAAACTACATCTATCATGTAATTTAATTCTTAGTAAAACCTTAAAAAGCAAGCATTTCTTCATTGTTAAACTAAAAAAGTGAAACCCGAAGATTTTCAGCTAATAAAATCAAGTTCACATAGGGTGCCAGAGCTGCCATTGCTGCAGTTTTACTTGATAGAAGTTTGAAGCTATGGTTATGCCATTTTTTAAATGAAGACTAAAAACTTAGTATCTTCAGTGATTAGACTTTTTGTGTAAACATTATTATTGGCATTTGGAACAGATAGCAAGATATTAGGGGTATGAGAATTACATTATATCTGATCTAGTTGAGAAAAGGAAAGTGAGAGTTAATAATAAATGGGACAAAAGAAGAAAAAAGAATGTTTTAAAATATCAATATCTAGGACAATTTCAGTAAGAGCTTTACATAATTACTTATAAATCAATGTCCTTCATTACAATGGTACATTATGAATACATGAATTAGAGAATAAAACACGAATAAAATAAAGAAGTTCAAATTACATTTTAGAATGATGTTCATTAAAATAGCTATATTTCTAAAATTTTGAGTTTTAAGGGGTACCAATTAGGAGAGAAATATATTCATTTTTAACTATAACTCCTGGCATGTAATAGGAGCACAATAAAAATGTATCGTGTATTATTGAAAAATTGAATTCACAGCAGATTGAGTTAATGAGATACCACTCTAATTTTTGTAATGAAGAAATCTGACACATGAGGAACTAGCAATCCAAACCTCCTCCACCACAACAAAATATGTATTAAGTTTACCTCCTAGAATATTCTAGGAGAAATAAAGGAAAACAAGGATTAGAGTTCTCCTGATCATGAATATCCACTGCTGTGAGACAAGCCTTGCTAATAAATTTTTTAAAGTAGGGTCATGTGGCCTAGAAGAAAGAAAAGTAATATTTATGGAGAAAGTTCAGCTGTCAGGCTGTGTATCAAAACACTGCTAAGTTTCCTGTGAAACTTGTAAGGGCCATTTTCAATTAGGATCTTTGGTACTCTTTACGTCCCCAATAGCAGTATCACGTGGAGAGACAAATTGGAAGCACTGCTTATTTCTCCTAGGGGCCAAGAATTGAGCATCACCTTTGCGCAGGAAACATCCCTCATTATTTCTTGTGCCAACTTCTTTTTGCAGAATGAGATTGTAATTTGCTTGTGGATCATACTTCATGGACTGAAACGTAGCCTGTCTCACAATAGCATCCACATCCTCTTCACTCAGTTCTTTCTCAAGAAAGCCACTGATTTTAAGCACAGAACTTCTGAGATTCTGAAAGAGTGGTAGGTATGAGAAATTACTCAGCTTATGAGGATGCATGAGTTACAGCCTATATATATCGTGATCAAAAATGGTTCGATATGAAAATTAGTCAATGCAATATAACATATGAACAGAATGAAGGAAAAAACTGACATGATTATCTCAATTCATGCAGAAAAGACATTGAAGAAAATCTAACACCTTTTCATGTTAAAAATGCTCAACAAACTAGGAATAGAAGGAAACTGCCTCAACATAATAAAGACCATATATGAAATAGTCATAGTCAATGAAGAAAGACTAGAAGATTATTCTCTAAGATCTGGAGCAAGCCTGATTTTGCCACTTCTATTCAACATAATACTGTTAATATTAGCCAGAGCAATTAGGCAATAAAAATAAATAAATAAAGGCATCCAAACTGGAAAAAAAGAAGTAAAATTATTTCTGTTAGCAGACAACATGACCTTATATATAGATAACTCCAACAATACCACACACTCAAAAAAACTTGTTAAAACTAACAAGGAAATTTAGCAAAGTTGCAGGATACAAAATCAACACACAAAAATCAGCTGAATTTCTATAGAATAACAATGAACAATCTTAAAAGGAAATTAAGAAAACAACTACATTTAAAAATCACATCAAAAGGATTAACATTATTAGGAATAAACCTAACCATGGAGATGAAAGACTTGCCTATTGAAAACTACAAAACATTGCTGAAAGAAATGAAAGATAGAAATAAATGGAACAACATCCCACATTCAAAAATTGGAGTACAATAATTTTAAGATGACAATACTACCCAAAGTGATGTGTAGATTCAATTCAATCCCTCTCAAAATCTCAGTGACTTTTTGTGCAGTAACAGAAAAATCTATCATAAAATTCATATGGAATTTCAAGGGATACTGAATAGCCAAACCCTCTTGAAAACCAAGAATAAATTTAGAGGCCCCACACTTCCAGATTTCAAAATTTACTACAAAGTTACAGTAATCAAAATGGTATGGTAATGGCACAAACACAGAAATATATACCAATGGAATAAAATAAAGATCCTAGAAATCATCTCTCACATATATGATCAAATGATTCTCAACAAGGATTTTTAACAAGAACATTCAATGGGGAAAGAAGAGTCTTTCAACAAATGGTACTGGGAAAACTGAATATCCACATGAAAAAGAATAAATTTGGACCCTTACCTTATACCATATACAAAACTTAACTCAAAATTGACTAGACATAAATGTAAGCACTAAAACTATAAAACCGTTGGAGGAAGACTTAGGGGAAATGCTTCACAACATTGGATTTGGCAATGACTTCTTGGATGTGATACCAAAAGCACAGACAACAAAAGAAAAATAGATTAAATGGATTATATCAAAATTAATAACTTCTGTGCATCAAGGGACACAATGAACAGAGTCAAAAGGTAATTCATGTTAAGAAAAAAATATTTTCAAGTCATATATCTGATAAGGGGCTAATATCAAGAATATGAAGAACTTCTACAACTCAACAACAACAAAAGCAACCCAATTAAAAATGAGCTAAGGTATTTTATTCTTTTGGTACCTATTGTAAATGGGCTTGCTTTCTTGATTTCTTTTTTAAAAACAGACAAGTGGACCAATGGAACAGAATAGAAAACCCAGAAATCAATCTACACACTTATAGCCAACTGACCTTCAACAAAGGCACCAAGAACATACATTAGGGAAAGGACAGCCAGCCTCCTCAGCAAAGGTCCTGGGAAAACTGGATATCCATGTGTAGAAGAATGAAACTAGACCCATACATCTCATCATATACCAAAATCAACTTAAAATGAATTAAATACTTAAGTAGAAGTCCTGAAACTACAAAACTCCTAGAAGAAAGCATAAAGGAAAGATTTCAGGATATAGGACTGGGCAAAGACTTCATGAATAAGACCTCAAAGCACAGGCAACAAAAGAAAAAATAAATGAATGGGATTATATCAAACTAAAAAGCATCAGCACAGCAAAGGAAACAATCAACAGAATGAAAAGATAACCTACAGAGTGGGAGAAAATATTTGCAAACTATACATCTGACAAGGGATTAATATCCAGAATATACAAGGAACTCAAATAACTTAACAGTAAAAATAATAATAACAATAATAATCTGACTCAAAAATGGGCAAAGGAGCTGAATAGACATTTTACAGAAGAAAACATACAAATGACCAACAAGTATATGAAAAATGCTCAACATCACTTATCATCACGGAAATGAAAATCAAAACCACACTGAGATATCATCTCACTCCAGTTAGACTGACTATTACCAAAAAGAGAATAACAAATGCTGGTGAGGATGTGGAGAAGGGGGAAACCTTATACACTGTTGGTGGGACTGTAAATTAGTACAGCCATTATGGAAAACAGTATGGAGGTTTCTCAAACAATTATAGGTAGAACTGCCTTATGATCCAGAAATCCCACTTCTGGGCATATACCTAAAGGAATGGAAATCATCATGTTGAAGGGATATCTGGAGTCCCATGTTTATTGCAGCTCTATTTACAAAAGCCAAGATATGGAATCAACCTAAATGTCCATTGATTGATGACTGGATAAGGAAAATGTGGTATATATACAAAACAGAATACTGCCCATCCATAAAAAAGAATGAAGTTATGCCATTCACAGCAATGTAGATGAGCTTGGAGAAAATTATGTTAACTGAAACTAGCCAGGCACAGAAAGACAAATACTGCATGTCCTCACTCATAAGTGGGAGCGAAAGGAAGAAAGGGAGGGATGGAGGGAAAGAGAGAGGAAGGGAGGAAGGAAGGAAGAAAAAAAGGATGGATGGAAGGCAGGAATGCAGGAAGGACAATCACAGTAATGAGTTCAATTTTCAGAAAGAGAGAACAGACCTGTGGTTACTTGAGGTGAGAAGGGGGGATGGGGAGGGAGATTAGTGAGAAATTGGTTAATGGACACAAGGAATGACTACATTTTGTAATGATGAACATGCCAATTATCCTGATTTGATTATCACACATTGTACACAGGTATCGATATTCAGCTTTACCCTACAAATATATATAATCGACTATTTTTCAATTAAAAAAATGGGCAAAGACTTATTGATATTTTTCCAAAAATGATATACAAATGTCCAATAAGCACATGAAAAGATGCCCAACATCATTATCATTAGGGAAATGTGAATCAATCACAATGAGATCCCATTCCATACCCATTAGGATGGCTGTTATTTAAAAACAAACAAAAAACAGACAAGAACATGTGGTAAGGACATGGAGAAATTGGAACTCTTGTGCACTGCTGGTGGAAGTATAAAATGCTGCAACCATTATGGAAAATAGTATGGTGGTTTCTCAAAATACTAAAAATAGAATTAACATATGATTCACAAATTCCATTTCTGGGTATATACCCAAAAGAATTGAAAGCAAGGTCTCAAAAAGATATTTGAGCACCGATGTTTATAGCATCACTATTCACAATAGCTAAAACATGGAAGAAAGATATGTGTGTATGGATGGATGAATATATCAACAAAATATGGGATGTACATACAATGGAATATTATTCAGCTTTAAAAGAGGAATTTCTGACACATGGATGAACCTCAAAGTCATTATGTTAGGTAAAATAATCTAATTGAAAAGGACAAATACTGTACGATACCACTCAAATGAGGTATTAAGCATAATCAGATTGGGAAAGAAGCATGAGAAACTATAGTTTAAATTAGTGAGGAATTTTCAATTTTGCAAGATGAAAAAAGTTCTAGAGATGGACAGTGGTAAGGGTTGCATAACAATGTAAATATACATAATGTCATAGAATTGTACACTTAAAAATGATTAAAATGGCATATTTTATATTATGGATATTTTATCACAAGAAAAAATGCAATTGGGAAAAAACCTGAAACAGAGATGCAATGTCCAGCAGCAGCTCACAGGAAAGAGAGATCAATTTTATCTCAGAGAGGTAAGAACAATTTTTCCTAGAAAAAAAATGTTTCTTCCAATTCAAAAATGAAGAATAAGAAATGTTCCTGGAAAAGCATGGAATTCCTTTCTGAGAGTAAAAGTAAGTCCCAAATTATAAAACTTGAAATCCCTTTTACATTAAATAAAAATTAAACTTTAGTGTGCTTGGTACTTGATAGATTCCCAAGAAATGAAGCTGGATTAGCAAATTGGTGAAAAAGGATTTCTAAGTTTGCTGAGTATCTTAGTCTTTTTCCTTGTAGGTAATAGTCAGCGGAAGAGATTAAATGTGATAGGGTGAGTAATATAAGAGGATCCTAGTTATTAAGCTATTTTTACAAATAATTTTTATATACAATAACTAACCCAAAATCAAGACATGCAAAAATAAATATGTATGAATTTCTTTACTGAAGATAAGACAATGTTGCCAAGAATGAGCAGAAAAAAAGACAATAGAAATAAAACTATAGATGTTACAGATACTGGAATTATTGGAAAGATTGTTAAAATAACTAAGCTTATTATATTCAAGGTGATAAAAGACAAAATAAAATTTTGGCAAAATAACTGGAAATTATAAAAAATAGCAGAGTTAAAATAGATCTCAGTTCACGAGTAGAAATGAAGACTGGGGTGAATAATTTTAACAGCAGATTAAACGCAGATGCATAGAGCAAGATTGAAACGTGAGTTAGGGAGAGAAGGAAACATTCAGAATGACACATCACAAAGAAACAAAACAGAGGTCGGCTTCCTCTAGAAAGAATTCCTGCTTGTAGCACAGCTCATAAGACTCTCTTCTGTGTCTCTCTAAAACTGTCCACTTCAGTTAGTTCTTCAGCAAATAAGCCAATCCCTAATTCTACCACCTGTCACAGTTCATAATCCTGAACTATACTCCACAAAATAGTAAACTGTTTTTATGCAAGACTATGAACACTCCTGTTCTTTATCACCCTGTTACTTCCGTCTCCAAAGACTACCACAACAAGGCATACGAAAATGTACAAATTTCTTTACTTCAGCCAATTATGACATATAAATGAAAAAATCATAGGAAGAGAAAGATTAAATCTCTCACTATATTAGACTTTCCCCCAAAATATGCCTTTAAATAGATTCTCATTTCTCTTAAGATAAATTAAAATGTTTTAAAACTTGTTTACATTTTCAATTAAAACACACAGGCAGAAAAGGCATAAAACAAAGATTCATCTTAATGATTTTTTATGAAGTACTCATCCACAATTCTAACATGCTCGTCAAGAAACTGAACAATGCAAGTATTCCAGAATGCCACCAGACACATTCCTGTTCTAATCAGAAACCTTGCCCTTCCCCCAAAAGATAAGCACTATCCTCATTTTATGATATTGACTTATTTGTTTTTATTTGTATTTTTAGCACCTAAATATGAATCTCTAAACATTATAGTTATAACTGCCTCCACTCCATCTACATACTGCTGGACAAGAGCCAGAAAAGTAGAAAATGATTCTCCTATACTAAGTCACTATGGTCCTAGGGATATCACCTCCAAGTCCGTGGGAAATGCACAAAATCTTCTGAGATAAACTGCATTGGCTTTGGGTGTCCTGATAGGGATTATCATTGGAGAACCAGGCATAAATTGTATTAAGTAAAATTACCAAGACCCTAAAATTTACTCCACCTTTGTTGGATACCTAATTGCTTGAGAAATTGGGAGCTTTCTATAGAAAGAACTTGAAGCTGAAAAACTTGGGTTGACCAAGGTCTATCTTCTCCAGCAAGTTGAAAGAAGATTCTCTCCCTATTACACAGTTTTAAAAAAAATGTTTTCACAAGTCTGGCAAAACACCTAGATCAAAGATATATAAGCAATGGGCTACTTGGTGGAAGGTTAGAGAAAAGTGACACCTGGCGATAGCATATTGAAGATGGAACAGAAAAATGTTCAGAAGGTTTTACATAGTTTACTCTATGGTTTCTTTGTCCAAATTTTCAATAAAGTATATTGTTTATAAATGCTTTTGTGTGAGCACATTCTTAACATGGAAGCCAAATATAAAAATAGGAAGGAAATCAGGTTTGCATTTTGGTTGAAGAATGGAGAATAACTGGAAACAAGGTGAGATTAGAAGCAGGTGGAACAATTAGGAAGGCTGCTGTGGAAACTAAGCAAGAGACATCAGTGACCCAGCCTAAGGAAAAAGCAATATTGATCGGATAATTTCATGTCTTCCACAAGGGATACAGAGACAGAATTAACATGGCCCATTGGTTAATTGATTAAATGAAGATGTACGGGCAAAGTAGATATTAAGTATGAAGTCTGGTTTCTGATTTAGGCCCCCGGAATTACAGTGGAATTCACAGGAGGAGAAGCAGTTTTTGTGGGGGAGATGAAAAATACTATTTTGCACATGATTTATTTGAAGTCCAGATATTAGATATAAAAGTAGGTATACAGAAGACAGTTATAATATATATGGGTCTCCGCTTGTCATATATATTTGGGATTCACCAATTTAGTATCCAATCTGGTTTACTGTACCTCACATTATACTTCATGTCACTAAATTCAATGGATGTTTTAAATCCACTTTTAGTCCATTTCCTGGCAGTCTTAAATATCTTTCTAGACATGCCTGCTTGGCTTCTGTGTCACCACACACTCCGTGTTTTCTTTCCACCTCTCCAATTCCTCTTTTTCTTTTTTCTTGGTGGGCTTATCTTTCTTTATCCAAACTTTCCATGTTAAGGTCTCTCAGTAATTGACCCTAGTCCCTCTTTTTCCCCCTTCCTTTCCTCCCGTCCTCTTTTCTGCCCCCTTCTTTCTTTCCTTCTTCCCTCTCTGCCTCCCTCCTTCCCCTTTCTCAATTTAATCTAAGTTCATTGTTTCAGTTATATTCTATGCACAGTGACAGTGTCAAATTTACATCATTAGTATCTTCAGCCCAAACCTTTTTTAGAGTTTTAGATATGAATTTTTTAAATTTATTTCTTGGTATATTTATTTGGATATTTCTAAGTTACCTTAAACTCCGCATGTCAAAACTTACATCGTAATCAATCTTCTTCCTCTAACCTGATCTTGCTTCAGTGTTTCCTAAATGCCTTCAAGAATGATACCACTATCTACACAGATATACAAACCAGAAATCTAGAAAGCATCCTTGACATCCCTCTCTCTCATTTTTCCTCTACGTAATCCCTGTCCTTTTTACAGTCTAAATGTCTTAAAACTCTATATCCCCTCAATTCCCAATAAGACCACTCCAATCCATGGCACCATTGATTTTCAGTGGATTAACACACTGTTTCCTAACTTGTCTGGTCTGCTTGTATTCACTATTTTCACTTTTCAACCCACTAATGGGAATGATATTCTAAAAATATTAATTTTATCCCATTGCTATACTTCTTATAACTCTTAAAGTACTCCTTACTATTTTTAGGATTAAAGAAAATCACCATCATTAACATAACCTACAGACCTTGCCTAGTCCAGTCTTATACACTCTTCCATCTTAATCTTTCATCAGCTCTACTTTATTGCTTCACAGTATTTGCACATTATTTTTCCTTGGCTAAGAATTCTCTTTCACTTCTCTTCTTTTTCTTAATCCATATTTATTAGTTCGCTTCTTCCAGAAAACATTGCCTGTCACCTTTGACTATATTGGTTACCCTTATTACATATATGGGCATCGTACCTGAGCTTTTCCTTAATAACCACACTTATCACAGTTTTGAATTATATATACTCGTTTGCTGCATACCTGTCTTCCCTATTATATTATGAGCTATATGAGTAAAGGATTCATCCTCTCTTTCTCATGATTAAGTGCCTGTCACATAGTAATCATTCACTAATTTTTGAGTAAATGAATTGACTATGTATTACGAATCGCCACATCAATCAGATATCACATTAGACAGCCTTGAATTGTTTGCCAATATGTAAATATTTTGTGTTTTCACATGAAAGCTTCATTTCAAAATTCTCTTTAAAAACAGGAAGAATTTGCATCACAGGGTACATACTCATCTATGGCAATAATTAACCATATGTTAGTAATGACTTCTTGCCCTAGTTATCCATGAAGCCCCTCTGTATTAGTCGGTTTCTGTTGCACATAACGAAATACCCAAAACTAGGTGAGTTATAAAGAAAAATGAAGTTTATTACTTACAGTTTTTGAGGCTGGGAAGTCCAAAGTCCATCTGGTGGTGGTGACAGTAACCCAGGGGTCTCACATTGCAAGACAGTGGAAGCAGAAGCAGAGAGAGACAGACTCTCTTCTCTCTTCTTTTAAAGCCCTCAGAACCATGCCTCTGATCACCATTATTAATCCATTCACTATGATGCGGTCCTACAATCTAATCACCTCTTCAAGGCTCCACCTTCCAATTACCATAATTGGATTTCCCACCTTCTAAACAGTCACAGTGGGGATGAAGTTTCTAATATATAAAACTTGGGGGACACAATTCAAGCTTCAGTGAGTTTGGGGGGGACATAATTCAATCCACTACACAATCTTTAACATATGGCTGCCATATATTGAGGTTGTCTTTATTGCTACAGGTGGTTACATGAGAAGGGATCACAAAAGATGACTGTGTATAGTGAGAAGACAGCCTTGAGAAAGACCAGTAATTAAGGATGGGAAGGAAATTATAAACCCAAAAAGAAGCCTGAGAAAGAGCAATTAGGTATGAAGATAACTAGGAGATTCTGGTTTGCTGAAACCAAGAGAAGAATCTGTTTCAAATAAATATTATTTTAAAGAAGTACTCTTATCTTACCTTCTTCATATCTTCATACATCATGAACAGAATATTAAAATCATGTTTGTGTTCATACCAGCCTCTGATGTGATCAAACCAAAGGCTTCCTACCACTGTGAAAAAAAATTAATAAGTAACGAGGTAAAGATGTCGCACTTATTGTACAGCAAACTCTATTCTTTCTTTTCTATTCTGGAATCTTCAGAAAGAAAAATAAAGCTCCCACCACTGGACATGTGTATTACTGTTTTAAAGTGGTTAGTGCTTTGGGGAACAATTACCTGATTTTTAACAGAAACCTGCCTATGTAAAGTTAATGTATGTATATAGAAAAGCAGCAGTGCAGAAGTAAGAAGCCCAAAGATCTAAGTTAGAAGATTTCTTTAAGGCAAGTCTTCTCATTTTCCTACTTCTTTCACTCGAAAACATATGTCTCTATTTCTCCTCTTATTCTGTAAGATCTCTGGATAGCAATCTTAGCAATCTAGAATGGGACAGAACCTGAATATAAACTTCTAAATGAGTGAGAGCTTGATTCCATACTCCATAAGCCTCTTGCATCAATAATTCTTCCTCAGTAGTGGAATAAAAAATTCCACAGCTGTTTTTATAAGGCTTATCACAAGTCTACGACAGAACGCACAAACTCACCCTGAATAGTAGCTATTCTGGAGTACATGGCTCTAGCTAGTTTGAATTGCTAGACCATTTACGGCTCTCTTATGGTCTGGTCAAAACATTTCCTAAACAATATGCCTTTGCAAACTTGACAATCCCCAAATGGTCCTGGCAAGGATAGAAAAGCCATAGTGTGGCAGGCTAAGTTGACATACAATTGTAACCACTCACATGCATTCTGTCATCTACGTTTGCTCTTCTCCATCTCTCCAAAATATGTTCCCTAAGTTCGACAATTTGGCTAAATGGTAACATTACTTCATAAACATGTTGCTTGATAAATAAAATCATAATTACCTTTTCCATCTAGAAACTTTTTCATGAAATGTTCTATAGTATCTGTATCTTCTAATGTAACCACAAGCTTTGAAAAATGAAAATATGAGATCAACACATCCTTAGGGTTTCTGTAGACATAAACAATCTGCAGAAAGAATTATAAAATAATTTTAACAATTCTTGGTTATCCTTACAGATTTTTTAATAGCTACATAATAATTTATTACATAAATTTATAATAATTTTCCATCTGGTCTACTAGCCATGAAAATTTAGGTGGTTACCTTTTTTTTTTTTTTTTTGCTATTACAAAGGGTGTTGCAATAAATAATTTCACTCACGTGGTGTTTCACATGTATGCAAGCACGTACAATAAATTTCTAAAATGTAAAACTGATTATTTGTAAAGTTGAAAAATATTGAAAATTACTTTGCAAACAGCCTGTATCCATTTGCCCACTACAAGCATTATGTGATTTTTGATATATAGCCAAGATAGCACTGGAGATAAGTGAAAAATGTTGAACTCAATGTTGTCCAATGATATTGGACAAAAAGTTATCCATATATTAAAAAAAAAAAGAAAAGCATTTTATCTCATATCATACACAAAAATATTCATAAGTGGATTAAGGATATAAACATAAAAACTTTGACAGCTAAGAAATATATATATATCTCTTGTCTTGGAGCAAAGGAGGATTTCTTTTTTTTTTTTCCTTTTTGTCTTTTTTCGTGACCGGTAACGGGATCGCAACCCTCGGTGTCGCACCCGTACCGTGACCGGCAACGGGATCGCAACCCTCAGTGCTACGCCCGCACCACGCTCAACCAGTGAGCCGACCGGTCTCTATATGGGATCCGAACCCTCGGCGGGAGCGCCGCCGCGCTCCCAAGTGCCGCACTCAACTGAGTGCGCCACCGGGCCAGCCCAAGGAGGATTTCTTAAACAAGAAAAATTTTATTTAAAATAAAAAATAATCAGTTTTGCTACATTAAAATCAAGAATGCTATTAATCAAAACATAAGGGTACTTCAAAAAGTTCATGGAAAGATTCATATTATCTTTCATTTCTATTTTCCATAAAAGTGTGGAAGTGCCCTTGCATACCAGAAAGTTACAAAAAGCCACAAAATATGAAAGAAGCAACACATATAAGCAACAATAGATTAGTATCCAGAGTATGTATAAAGCAAATTAATAAGACAATACAATGTCATAAAAAATTTTGCCAAAGACATAGTCATTTCACAGAACAGGAAATAATTATGGCCAATAAACATCAAAAAGTGCTTATTCTCATTATTGATTATAAATATGCAATTTAATATCAGTTTGAGAAACCATTTTATAATTACTACATTGACAAAAATGAAAAAGTTTTGTACAAAAAAAAATTACTACATGGGCCGGCCTGGTGGCGCACTGCTGCAGTGCGCCGCTTGGGAGCGCGGCTGCGCTCCCGCCGAGGGTTCGGATCCCACATACAGACCGTTTCCCGCTCACTGGCTGAGCGAGGTGTGGGCGCAGCGCCGAGGGTTGTGATCCCGTTGCCGGTCCCGGCCCGGTACGGGAGCGACACTGAGGGTTGCGATCCGTTGCCGGACACAAAAAAAGACAAAAAGGAAAAAAAAAATTACTACAGTAAAAATTATTGGGAAAATAATCTTGGGGGAAAAATTAAGAACTCATCCATTATCGGTTTCAGTATCAACTGGTACACCTGCTTTCTTAAGAAAATATAGCATCATCTTAAAAAGTTAATATTCTTGTGCTTATGGCTTTGTAATTCTATTCTTGGATGTTTACACTAGGGAATCTTGTGCAGGTGTGCCCAGGAGTTCATAGCAGCAAGTGTTTATAACAGCAAATTAGAATAACCTAATTATTCAAAAAAGGGAAAGCAGAGATCTGATATAATTACTTACACAATCTGTGAAATTATACAAGAGCGAAAATAGTATTCAAAAGCAAGAGTAAACAAAAGCATATGGCAAAGTCCCAGACAATAAAGAAATAAAAAAACAAGAATATACATATAAAGTTAAGTAAAATTTAAGGACAAATGATTTAACAAGACAACATATAATTTGTTTGCAATGACCAACAGAACAGGAATTTTTGTATACTGAATAACGTAAAAGGAATCTAGAAACAGGAAAACATAATCTGTTTGCAGTGAACAACAGAATAGTAATCTTTATATACTAAATAACAATAAATGACACAAATTCTGGTAAGTCTGGAAATATTTTGATTTAGCAGCAATCCTAGTGGAAGACTTACATACACTTTTCTTCAGACATAGCATAAAAGAAATAAGGTTAATTTTAAAAATTAATTTTAAAAGTTTATTTGATATATGTATATATTAGTACCCCACACAGAAAATGTACATCATTTTCTCATGTAGTTGTAAAACATATTGAAAAGTTGATCATGTAATTGGCAATAAAATTTCTCAACAAATTCAAAAAATCAGAACTCTTACAGCACCATTACCTGATGATAGTGCCATAATACTAATAACCAGCAATGAAAAAGCTTAAAAAGAAATTTATATAAACAGCTGGAAATAAAAAAAAACTCAAAATAACTGGGACATATTAGAAAAGTAAAACTGAAATGAGAGATTATTTAGGTATTAGCAAAATTATATCCATAGCTATACTAAACAAGATATATATCATTTTAAAATTGATGGAACCAACCTAAATGTCCATCAATGGATGACTGGATAAGGAAAATGTGGTATATGTGCACAATGGAATACTACTCAGCCATAAAAAAGAATGGAATTTTACCATTTGCTACAACATGGATGAGTCTGGAGAATACTATCCCAAGTGAAACAACCCAGGTATAGAAAGAGAAATGCCACATGTTCTCACTCATAACTGGGAGCTGAATCCAAAAATAAACAAATGAACAATAAAGAGAGAGGGAAAGAAAGAAAGAAACAGCAATCACAGTAATATGTTAAATTTTAGAAAATTAGAGATGGAAAAGGGGAGGAGAAGGGGAGAGGGTGTGGGGGCTAAAGAGGAATTGGTCAATGGACACAAAGAATGATTGTGTATTGTAATGATGAATAAGCTAACTATACTGACCTAACCACCACACATTCTACACAATTATTGCAAATCAACATTGTACCCCAATGTATGTATAATAAAAAATAAAATAAAAATAAGTTAATAAATAAAATTAGTGTTTTAAAAATAAACATTGGATATAGATATACTAAGCAGTTAATTAAGGAACATAGAAAAATAAATGCAAACAAAATATGAGGAAATAATTAAAATAAAAGCAGAAATCAACAAAATAGAAAACATTAAATTATGTTTCAAAAAAGAAGGTAGTTCTTTGGTGGGAAAAAAATCAGTAAAATAGAAAATTCATATCCTGAAACATAAAAAAAATGAAAGAATATAAAAATTTTCATCATTACAATGAATGAAAAAGATATAATCACAGAATTGGAGTAATTGATAACATCATGAAAAAATATGTTGTACTTTTTTACAAAATCTAGATAAAATGGGTAAGAAGTATATTAAGAACAATATAAAGCACATCTGGAAGGCACAAAGTAAACCTGATAAACAAAAAGCCCTAAAATAATGCCAAAGGAATGTTGGAATATTGCAATGATGGTTGCCTCAGAATTAATCTATATATTTAATAAATTCAAACAAATGTCTAAAAATCATTGGGGGATTAAAATATTTTTAAAAAGTTGAGGGGGAGGGCCGGCCCGGTGGCGCACTGGATAGTGCGCCGCTTGGGAAGCGCGGCGGCGCTCCCGCCCGAGGGTTCGGATCCCACATACGGACCGGTTCCCGCTCACTGGCTGAGCGAGGCGCGGGAGCAACACCAAGGGTTGCGATCCCGTTGCCGGTCCCCGGTCCAGTACGGGGGCAACACTGAGGGTTGCGATCCATTGCCGGACACGGAAAAAGACAAAAGACAAAAAAAAAAAAAAAGTTGAGGGGGAATTTACCTTATTAGTTATAATACGTAACACTGTGAAGAACTGCCGCATATTAAACAGATGTATCCACTTTGGGCATAAAGAATGCAGACTCAGAAGAGAAGGACTATGGAAATTTAGTACATCAAAATGTAGACTTCAAAATAGTAGGGAATTATTAAAGTGGATGCTTTAATAAATCATGTTGGATCAATTGGCTAACCCCGTTGGTAAATATCATGCAATATTTATGTCTCACATCACATGCAGTATGAGATATAATTTATAATCAAAAATAAAAAACACAAAATGAAGTTAATTAGAAAAAAACCTGGAGAGTATTTGCATAATCTTTGGGGTGGGAGAAGTGTTTTCTTATCAAAGCACCAGAGCTGGGAGCCATGGGAAAGATTAATAAATCGGTTGCATAGAATTAAAAACTTTCAACAATTTTTAAAGGTAAGCTATTAATTGGAAAATGTTTGCCCCTTATATATACTTCCATAAAACAATAAATAAAAGACAAACTAAATAAAAATGGGCAAAGAATATAAAGGATATTTAATACTATAAAAATATTAAAAGATGCTTAATCTTATTAAAATCAAAAGAGTTGCAAATTATTCAAGAACAAGATTTTTTTTTTACCCAGTACATTAGTAAAGATTTATAATTCCCATCATTGGTGAGCATGTGAGGAAAGAAGCATTATCACAGGCTATTTGATGACGTTTGAGTTGATAATATTATAGAAGGCAAGTAGGTAATATCTGCCAATGCTTAAAATATTTGGACTCTTTAAAACTGTGCTTTTACTGAAACATTTTGCCAGAATAAAAAAGTGTGAATATCTACAGGAATGTTTATTACAGCATAACATGTACATTTGCTGCAACCTACCTGTCCATCAAACACACATTAAATATTGCTCAGCCATACAGTAAAACCCTATTAAGCCATAAAAAAAGAATGGAATTTTATGTATTGATGCAAAAGAATTTTTGCTATATAATCACATTGCAAACGTGTGGCAATCCAATATGTGCATATACTTATAATTCCATATATAATTTTAATGTGCAAGACAACATCATAATGATATAATAAGCATAACATTTGAAAGCATATGGATTAGTGGAGCTGGGGAACAATATGTGCAGAAGGTATTTTGTCTGTGCAAAAGTCCATAAGCCATTTCTATGACATACTTTAGCTCTTTTGTTCTTGAGACCTTTTGGTGCTAAATAATATGGGATGTGGGAAGTGAAGAGGCGAGGGGACGGTCTGTCAATAAAGTTCATGTTGCGAATGTTGTATTCCAAGAAGGGGGCTCTATCAATTGTTTCCACATTCTCAGTTCTGTTACGATGTCCCTCAAAATAAATCAGGCTTAGTATCTGCTGAGTCCAGATGGTACCTATAAAAATAAATGATCTTGTTTTCAAACCAAAATTAATTTTTAATAATAAATGCCAACAGTAATGCCATCCATCTTAAAATCATTTGGAGCTTTTTATTTTCTTCTAAATACTTCAAGTATGCTAATAAGTTTGTCCAATTTTTTTGCTTGCTTTTCATCTGTGGTTTACATTAAAATTAGTAAAGATTAAATCAAGGACTCAGTGTTTATTTCACTTTGAAGAACTGTAGTTGTTGATTCCATTATAGTGGTGATTCAGATTAATTCTACAACTCCTTATGTTTCTTGTACATCATGTAAGGTCCCTTTTTACCATCTTTTGTGGGTACTTCTGTTTCTCCTTCATTGGATTCCTTTCTTAGAACTTTATCTTTTAGAAGTATAAACATTTAGGATCTTAGGGACCAGATGTCTCTTCCAAACATGATAAAATTATTCAGTTTGTTCCCTTCCTCTTGATTCCCACCATGTAAGGCCTCCACATTATGAAACGCTTTTTTTTTTTTTTTTTCCTTTTTTGACCGGTAAGGGGATTGCAACCCTTGGCACGGTGTGGTCAGCACCACACTCAGCCAGTGAGCGCACCGGCCATCCCTATGTAGGATCCGAACCGCGGCCTCGGAGCTACCAGCACTGCACTCTCCCTAATGAGCCACGGGGCCGGCCCTGAAACACTTTTTTTTATGCCAAATTCCCAAGAACAGACAACCCAAAACACACGGGGAAAGAGAAAACCAAAAATTTCACTGTTCTCATTGATTCTTGGTTTTTTGACCAGTCAAACATGATCACTGGTTATGAAAGGATTTGGGAAATTCATATAAATGTTTTAAACAATTAGAACAGATCCATATGTAATTAAATATGATGATACTAAGGTTTGACCTGATTTACTAATGATTATTCTAAACCATTTGTGAGTGGTAATGTGGATGTTAACACACTGCTGCTATTCTAAACCATTTGTGAGTGGTAATGTGGATGTTAACACACTGCTGCTATTCTAAACCATTTGTGAGTGGTAATGTGGATGTTAACACACTGCTATTCTGAGAGAGACAGTGGTGCTTCTTATGAAGCTGAGCTTGCCATTTTGAAAAGAATTAACCATACCAAGAAATCATAGGTTCTGGTGCTGGTAACAATGAAAGTTTCCAACATCTTCCATGGTCCATCAAAAGCACTCATCGTTCACCCCAATTTTGGCCCAGGACCTCCAAGAGGACCTGACAATCTGCTGGTGATTTAATGAGCCCTTTTCTGGCCACATCAACTGGATGATCACATGAAGATGCTCGCTTGGCATTGTTTTCTCATTGCCAAGTGTGCTTATTGCTTGGTAGCATGGACTTTGGCCAGGCTATCAGAGCTAGAGTCAAAAAGTCTGTGGACATACATCATCAAGAAAATGAAGGGATTTCTTATCTCCATAAAACAAGCAGTGACTTCAAATATTGCTGCAATTGTCAGGGTCTTTGTGTGGTCACACACTAGTCAAACTTTAATTCATCTCAGACTAACTCTTCTGTCTCATCAAAATAACCCAAGGAGATTTCAAAGCATTGGGATCCATGAAGATAATAATCATTGCTGGGAGGAAATTCTCCAAAGGAAACTGAGGCAAACATGAAGTTCATGCTGACTGCTATGCCATGAGCAATAAAATCCATTGGCTCTGACCCAGGAGTCTCCTATCATCTGCTAGAATCTATGAAACTATGGAGGGTTAACATATTAGCTTACATGTAGGACAAAATCTTACTACTCTCTCAGATTTTGACAATCAAAGTCTTGGGTTCCAGATCTACAGTAAGACGGAATGACCTCCTATAAGGGCCCTTCAAGTAATATCATATATTTAAGCATTCCAAAGATGTAAGGACAAAATAGGACTTGAATAAAACAAAGCAGTATATTTGGAAAACCTCTTTATTTACTCCAAAAATTATTTTATTGCCAAACCTTGTATGACCAACTTGTTTGTGGTATTCTGGGACACCCACATCATGAACAAGCAAAAAACCATACTTGAAATCTCAGCAACTCCAGCTTTACCTCTTAGTCCATATCAAACCAATTCAAACCAAGCATTCCAAGTTTCACCCTCTGCTGAAGTACAAATAGGCATCACATGATCAAAAGCCTTTCAGTGCCTCCTCCTGTAACCTACTAGGACCGTGTGTCACCACTCCTTTGTACTGATGGTCTTCACAGACCTCAAAAAAAGCAATCTTTTCAATGGACATTATTGGTCCAGGACTTTTTTGAAATTCTTAAACTAGAATTCAGCTCTCATGGAATGCTTCTTAAGAAAATGAAACCTGTTGGAAAATTGATCTTTATGGGAGATAAAGCCTCTAACTAATGAAGCATTTATAAGTTGGAGAAAGGAAGGTTTTGCACTGTCTCAGACCTATCATAAGGAAAACAACATATTTTACAAAGCAGGAACAAAAGAGCAACCTGGAAAATCCAAAAATCTCTTGTTCCCATATAAAATGACCAATTTTAGTGGATTATGTTCACAGAATTTATTGTAGACCTGTCACATTCCAAAAACATAATGCCATTCTAAGACAATACCGTCAATAAGAAGGCCTCTTTTCCAATTTAAGCTCTTTGGCTCTTAGTGATACAACTCTTTTTCTGCATAACTCCTAATGCCACATCATTCCAGGTCAGTCATCAGGCTCCAAGTCATCTCTCATTACTGGAGATGACTCCTCCAGCTTCTGCCTGTCCAGGGCATATGTCTCCATTCTAATCACCAAATTTAATAAACCAAAAAAAAAAAAAAAACTGCAGAGGTACCAGCTGCTGGGGATTACTGCTCACTGGAGTTCTCCTCTAATTCCTTCAACACTTCCACCAAAATAATCCCTGCTATGATTCAGCAAGCATAGAGTCACTGTTTAGCAGGAATAGATTCTCATTTTGATGTTTCTCATTCACCCCCTTCAAAATATCTTTGTATTGTTTCCTTCTAAATTACAAACATATTTTCTTGTTAAATAAATTAGGAAACAGTAAATCAAAAATGGAAACACTTCATCTAAAGCTTAAACTTACCACACTCTCAAGCATAACTGCTATTAACAGATTAGAGTATAGCCTTCTAGAATTTCATTGCATACTTTATATGGAAACCATATGTAAATAGTCTTTCAAAGACAAAAATAAGTTCATGTTATACCTACTATTCTACAATTTGAGGGTTATTTTTAACCAGTCTTATAACATGGACATCTTTCCTTGTCATTACATCAGATCATCTCCATACTCATCAAAGAACTACTGATTAGTTAACTAGACAATCATTACTTTTTTGTATGGTTAATAAAATACTCTTTTACCTAAAGACAGAGTCATAAAATTGTGCTTTAAGATGCACTGATCCCTCTATTGATTGAGGCTGATATGTTCCACATTCAGAATCCACACATTCATGATAAATAATCATCTAGTACCCAGTATGTGGGAGAAGCACTAAAGTAAGAAATAACAAGTGTCTACATGATGACCTCAAATTATGGAAGAATATTACCCTGTAGCCAAAAGAAGCTCTGATGAAGCCACAAAGAAGAGTCTCAGAAAAACCAAGATGCCTGGAGAAAGAGCTGCAGGCAAACAGATAGGATAGATTCAGTTGGATAAGACACCAACAAGATGTGTTTCAAGCACTCACAGTTGCTGCTGTTCCCCTTCTGAGAACAGCTACTATTGGGGCCTGTACCTCATCTCCCTACATGTAACAAAGTGAAATTTCCTATTGTACTGATATTATTTGATTATTTATTTACCATTACATTGACTTTCTTTTCATCTGTCTTTTTTTTTTTTTTTCTTATTGTTCAGTATATGTCTTCCCATACAATGTTGAATATAAGTAGAGGTAGCAGGCATTCTTGTCTTGTTTCTGATTTTAAAAATAATATTTTAAATGTTTCATCACTGCATACAATGTTTGCTATAATTTTTGTTAGATTGTGTTTATCGGGCTAAGGAAGTTCCTTTTTCTCCCTAGGTTGTTAATAGTTTCTATTATGAATGGATGCTGAATTTTACTTAATTCTTGTTCTACATCTATTCAAATGATAATACAGGCTTTCTCCTATACTCTAGCGATGTGGGTGAGCTACATTAATAAATGTTTAATTCCTGAAATAAACCCACCTTGGTCATAGTGTATTTTTTGTAACACTGCTAGATTTTGCTTGCTTATATTTAGTTTAGGATATTTGCATCTATGTTTATGAATGTTCTCAAAGGATGGGAAGTGCCAAAAATCTTATAAATGTTGCTGCTCAACTGATTCATCTACGTGACAGAGTTGATACAATTTATACTGAATCCTGGGGAGACTCACTGATGTCTCCTCCAAGGCAACAAGAACCCCGCAGGCTGGACAGAGGACTGGTATGTGATATTCCAGAAACTTGGGATGGACTATGGGTCAGGGAAATGCTTTTATATGTGGTGCAGAGCTTGACCTAAAACTAAGCAAGCTGATATGCCACCAACATCTAAGGCAGGAGGAGAAAAAAACAATCTCTGATATGCCACCAACATCTAAGGCAGGAGGAGAAAAAAACAATCTCAGTTGCTGCTGAGTTATCCACCTGATAGAGTTTCACAAGATGGCAGAAATAAGGCAATCCAGAGACAAGAAGAGGGGTTACTTGCTTGGGGGAAGCAAACAAAGTCATGAATTTCAAAGTAGAGGGCAAAAGGGAGGGACTGGAGCATTTTCATGAAAATCAGTAATCTTTTTTATCATTTTGAGTTAGACTCTAGTGTATCTTTGAGCAGCATTAACTACTCTGTATAACAGTGTGTCGGTGGCACCAATCATCCTATGTTCTAAAAAGCACACTTTGAAAACATACTTTTTTTTGAACCACAAAGTTTGAGTGCATTGTATTTTAGCTGAAAGTTATTTTATTATTACAGAGAAATAGAAAGCAATTCGAGTAACTGAAAAGCATATTAAGAAATAGTTCTGAGATATTCTGCGAACAGAAATCTAGCTGGGTTTTTGAATATATTTTCTTTCATTATCAGACCAAGCCAACAGGTTAGCATCTACCAAGTACTGTCTCTTGGCTCAATACTTGATTTCTTCATATTTGCCATCTGAAATGACAATATATGCATTGCAAATAGCCTTACAACATACATATTTGAGTTCTATTTAACTTTTTTCTGATCCTAAATGGTTATCTAAAAGTAGGTTGGGCTGTTGATGAGGTCTGGAAAAGGGCACATTTGTATACATGTATTACCAAAACAAAGTGAAGGCTGATATCAGATGGCCCACTCCTTACTCTTACCAAATGGTCCACTCAAACTTACCAGATGGCCCTCTCCTTTAGCTTTCCAGATGGCCCACTCCTTAAATTTTCCAGATGGCACAGTCCTTAAACTTACCAGATGGTCCACTCTTTAAGCTTACCAGATTTTGGATATGTGATTATGAAGACATCATCATCTCTAATTTCAAAATCATCTAGATTTTCTAGTAGATCAACATTAACTAAAGAACGTTCAAAATTATAGCCTTTGAAGTTCAATAAATATGTGTCTGTGTCATCCATGATTCTTCACCTACAAGTAAAAACAGATCAAGTTCTCTTCAAGTTCTTAATATTTTATAATAATAACTCTTATGGAGTACTCAATATGTGCCAAGCACTAATTAAGTGTCTGTATGTATCAACTCATTTACCATATGAAACATATTACATCTGTTAAATTACTTAAACTTCACAGTAACCCAACATTGCCATAGGTATTGTTATTATCACTATTTTAAAGATGAGAAAATTAAGATACTCAGAGGTTAAACAGCTTTCCCTAAAACCCCTGAGGAAAAGATTATTGTGATTCCAAGCATACAGATGAGGAAATTAAGGCACAGAGAGATCAAGCAAATTATTCAAATTTGCCCAGCTAGAGGAGCTGGGAGGAGTATGCCAGATAATTTGGCCACAGAATCCATGCTTTTATTTACTCTAGAGTTTCTTAATATTTTATATTTTTATTTTTTACATTTTTTTCACTGTTATAGAAGTAAGAAATTATTTAATGAACATATCCTTTTTACTGTTTTTTTGTTTGTTTTTGTTTTTGTTTTTCTGGTACGTGAATAACCTGCTGTGTCTGAAAGAAGCTTCTGAAGCTTTGGGATCTAATACACTGTTTCAAATGAATAATGGAGATTGTTCTGTTTGAGTGATACCAATTGGTTTTACTTTAGAAATGTTGCCTTTATATAGATATTGTTTGGTAATTATTATAATTTCCAGTAGGAGTTTTTGAAAATCAGAAATCTTATATAAATCTAAATAAGAAAGTCAGAATAAAAATAGAAAGCAAACAGTCTAATGACAAATCCTTTCAAAATTATGTCCAGCCACGCATTTCTGTTAGGTCTGCCTGAGAAGTCTTTACTTGAATGTTAAATAGGTGAGGGAATCCCAGAAGTCCTAATAACATTAGATTTAGAACCAGCATAGAGTTCTGTTTTGTTTTTTCTTTTAATTTTCCATGCACATCAAGAAACGAAATTTGTTAAAAAGCTGCAAATATGGCTTTGTCTAAGTTGCATGTCCAGAAACAATATTTAATTTCTCCACAAACAATCGAGGTTATTTGGTCAATAGAGGGAATTCAGAGTTTAGCCTTTTGCAGAGTAAGAGTAGAAAATCACTTACATTAGAGAAGCCCCCAGGGTCCAGAGGTGGTGGGTGGGCCTGACAGCAGCCAGGCTGGCAACAGAGGCAGCCTGGACCAGCCCTGCTGTCCCTTCCTATTTCCCCTCTATCAACATCTTAGAATGTACTTATTAGAAATAAACAAATTGATAAATAAATAAAAAGAAAATCAGTTACATTAGAACCACCTGGGTTTCTGGGTAATAATAATGGTTCTAGACCCTATACCACACTGGTAGAATCAGAATTTCTGAGGAGTGTGATCTACAAATGTGCATTTTAACAACCCTGCCATTCATACAAGGAAAATGACAACCAAAAGGTGATAAAGCATTGTCTTGATTTCAATGAATGTTTTATCTCAACCTCCAGAGAAGCTTTTGTGGGATGCTACTTGACTCCCAGTTAAAAGATCCAGTTAAGGTAAGGTCCAACTAAGCTGGTAGAGGTTTCCTCACTACAAGCTGAAGTCCAGACAAATGTGAAACATTGAGATGTGGGGATAGACTATCCGGCTCATGGATCACAAATAATGTTTCCATAGAGGCAGATGGAGAGCTGTTCTGACACTAACATCACAAATTTCCCAGGGAAAACCTCAGAGAACTCAGCCTTTGGAATGTGGTAAAGGAGCATTTCTACTGTATAACGTGGACAAATGGAGAAGTCCATAAGTAGGAAATATAGTTGAAGTGAAAAGCAGAGATGAAGTAGAAGTCACTGTCCCACTCCTACTAACACCCCGCCACAGCAGCATCCACACACACCCCAAAAAGTCAGTATGGATTCCAGAAACTTTGGATGCTGAGGAAAAAGAAAAGGGTGTCAGGCAGCCTCTACAAACATTCCAAATGAACATCATTCCTTTTTTGTTACTATTATGTTCAGTCACTCAAATGGTCTGTCTTTTACAGTCTCATAAGAGACAATGATAAGGGATGTTTTGTCACAGAATCAAGAGAGAAAGAATGGAGTGTGAGGGGGATCCATGCAGGATTTCAACATTGGCAAGTAACATGTTGTTTGTGTCTCTTTGATAAATACAGGACAAAGTCCTTGTACAAATAAAAAAGGGTGCCTGTGCCTCCCTCTTATTCTTTCACTGAAGTCAAAAGAAAAGGGGGAAAATAGAAAATTGGGAGGATAAAAGTAAATGTACATGTTATGCAGAAGAAAGGGTGAAACTTGGGAGAGACTTTAAGTCTACACTTTAGCTACTCATTGTTGCAGATCAGCTGATGAAACAAAACCACCTGTGGTACAATTTTAAGAATGATAGGGATTGATGTGTTGCTGCTGAATAAATATTCTCTACAGAGTTTGTTATGGCCAATGAGTAGTGTTCTAAGAAATAAGCAGATAGCTTCATTTGGATAAGTTGGCTCAGATTTTGTTGACATTAGGAAAAGCCTATCAGGTTATTCCAGAATCATTGAAGGAATCAAACCTTTGGGATATAGTAAAGAGAACTGCGGGTGAACAGTAGTCATATTTACTTAATTTTGGCAATTATAAAACAAACAACAACATGTAGTTGAAAGCTTTAGCAGCAACTTTCTTGGGCATGAACAATGGTAAAGTAAAATCTTTTACACCTACCTTAGGTGACTTTTGTTCGTTCTTCAGGTCTTTAGTTGCACCGTTAATTATTCTACCCTTATTTTCACCAAGTTTGTTTCTTCTACTATAAAATTGGCTATAGCTATGGAAAGCTCCAGAGGTCTTATAAAATCATTTATAAGAGGTTATATAAATTCATTTTCCAATATCCAGGGTTGTCCTTTCTAAGTTATGTCTTTCCAATACTGTTATTTTTAAAGGTAGATATTACACATGGTTCAACCTGTCTTCTTTGTATCCTACAATAATTGGCATTTGTCTCAGGACTGACCTAACATCTCCCAGACTCTTTGCCCATTCTTCAGTCTTCTGTTGCCTATTTAAGAGGCTCTTTGATAATGATTCTCAGGTTTTCACTAAACACAGAATTTTGATCTCAGGTGAAATTTTTAATCCTCTCAATGTACAACTGTTCACTGGTAAGAAAATAGGGTTTAATCTGAGGGTAATTTAATCTTATAATATTCAGCCTGCCTCTTCTTTCTCACATTTGCAAATTAAGACAGTAATCCATTTTGTGAGGGTGGCATAGTGTGAGGAATAGAGATCAAAGGAGAATAGAAATGGGAGTAGACAGCTTATTAAAATAAATAGCTCTGCCAAGAATTTCTGATTTCATAACACAAATTTCCATTGAAATTAATGCTTTAGGGGTCTTTTGAGATGCTTGGGATCTTTTCCTGATCTCTCTCTCGCTCTCTTTCCTTCTGAAGTGGTTATTGACTGTGAGGATTCTATACCAGTCTGCAAAACACCCACGTAGGAGTTCCAGATGGCTGAGTAGAGATACCCAGCTCTTACCTCTAATGCAAAAAAAGTAAAAAACAAAAAGTGGATAGTCATGTGTTGAATAGAGAGTCAGAGAAAACACTGGAATTCAGCAAAAGGGTGAGGAAGACCTCTTGAGGCTTAAAAAACTGAGATGGCAGCATAGAAAAGCAAGTGAAGTACCCAACCAAGATTGGCTCAGAGAGAGGCAAAATAGGCAAGGAGAATCCCCAACGGTCTCTGCCCCCATGGCAGATGCCCACAATCCAAGCTACAAGGAAGTCACATTGTCCTTGCAAGCCATGAGACCAGTTTGGGAAGCTGCTGGGAGACCACATTACTGCATTATTCCAGAGAGAGTTCACAATGAGCCCCTCCACCCCCAAGTCTAAGGCTGCCACAGCATATTGCCATTTCAGGATCCAACACCAGAATGAATTTTTTTTTTTTCTGACTAGTAAGGGTATCGCAACCCTGGGCATGGTGTGGTCCGCACCACGCTCAGCCAGTGAGCAAACAGACCATCCCTATATAGGATCCGAACCCACGGCCTTGGCACTACCAGTGCCTCACTCTACAAAGTGAGCCATGGGGCCAGCCCACCAGAGTGAATTTTGCCCTGAGGCCCAATAGCCCTGGCATCTCCACAGCCCTAAGGCCCCCTCACCACATCATGACTCCACAACTGGAGCCCAGGTGGTGCCTTGCACCTCTGGAAACAGACATTCCAGTGCAGTGTGGAGGCAACCTCCAGGACAGAAGGAGCCAGTGTTCGGACTTCCTGGCACCAGAGAGCCAATCGATCAGGACCTCTGCCACTGCCTGTGGCCCTGCTCTCTTCGGTAGAGTGTCTGTGCACCCGTCCCAAGGGCACAGATTCTGCCATGGCTCCAGAGAACCCTCTCAGAGCCACCCACTTCTGGTGGCAAGCTGCAGAGCACCCACCCACTTCTCCTGGGGTCCCAGACTCTTGTCTTTAGCTCCAGTGAGCCTGTCCAGGCTGCTTAGCAACCCAATATCTCTCTTGGGGGTACAGGGTCCTTCCCAAAACCTCAGTGACCTCACTCAGAGTGGCCCACTTCAATGGTGGAGCTGCAGAGAGCCCCAGCATCTCTCTTGGGGGTTTGGGGTCTCATTCACAACCTCAGTGACCTCACCCAGAGCCCACTCCAGCTGAGAATGTGAAGAGTACCTTAACTCTCTCTTAAGGGTGCAGGGTCCCACATACAACCCCAGTGTCCTCCCCATAGTGGCCCACTCCAGCTGAGGGTCTGCAGAGTGCCCAGCATTTCTCTTGAGAGTCTGAGATCTACCAGCAGTCCCAGTGACCACATCCAGGATCACTAACTCCAGCTGAAATGCTGTGGAGTACTCTAGCATCTCTTCTGGGGGTATAGAGAGCTACTCAAAGCCTTAGAGACCCCACCCAGAGTTGCCAACTTTACCTAAGGAGCTGTAGAGCACCCCAGTGCTTCTTCCAGGGGACCAAGACC